CTCGGCGAGCGTACGGTAATGTAAATGTACGTCTAGCGTAAGCTAGCCTGAACTATATATGTATATATGGAGACAGCTAGTATGCTTTAGATGATCTGGCTATTAGATGTACTTCGATGTGCTCCGATAAATCTCAACAACATATTGTTGTTTTTCTCTTAAATTGAACTTCCGGTTTGGGTTTAGAGAATCGAGGTCTATGCTTTATCAATTAGAGGTTAGGAGATAGTATCATGTCCCAAACGTATGTTAATTTATGGTCTAGATAGATTATCTCATGAGTAGTACATGGAGCATACTATGTTCCGGAAGAATATGAGTCTGACTCACATATATAAATATCTTATACATATAATACCATATTTATTATATTAAGGCTTGAGTATTGTACAAAACCCCATCATATAAGTTCATATCATTCATATCAAGATCATATCAGTTCATATTATTTTCATGTCAATTCATATGAGTTCATTCAGCTCATTTCAGTATCATATCAGTTCATATCATTCATATTAAGATCATATATAAAGTCCATTTGAGTTCGTGTCACTTTTATCAAAAATATCACTGTGTATGTCTTATTGAATGTGTTCTTTTTTGCAAATATTTTTTTAATTTGAGTTTATATGAAGCAAATGTGTCATCATATCATTGTCATAAAATGATAATATGATGTTAGTATGATAGTGATGTGATGTTGGTATGACGTCTTATGCTTGATATGATTGATATGACTAATATGATGATATGATTGATATGAAAGTAATAATACTACAACTAATACGTGTTTGGAAAATTTATTTTTTTCTTCGCTCAAAATATAGCAAAATAGATATCAATGTGTACATAATAATTAATGAATTATTTCTATGCAATATTTTTTTAATTCGAAGTTGAAATGAATTCTATGAGATCCGATTAAAAAAATAGGGGAATAGAAAAAGTACGTTCTCTGATCCATGTCGGGCTATAAGCAAAAAAAAAAAAAAAAATCTCAGGTGGTGGAAGTACTAATCCGCCCATTATTTTTGTTATGAATTAATTAATATGGACCGGAAATGGATGGAGGGTAAATTATAGGGGTTTATAGTGGTTTTATAGAGTGATTTTTGTACCATATATTTTCCTTTATATTAATATTGGTCAAGAAATCAATTTATATGTTATCACAATTGTGTGTGTGTTTTATAAAAAAAAAACAACTGTGTGTGTGTCATTACAGAAAGTAAATTAGTAAATATTTGATATTAGTTATTACTACTATATTAAAATTATTTACTATGCTCGGGAAGTAGCAAATAAAATGAATTTATAAATACCAAAATTTATTTTAGTAGAATAAAGATTTGTTGAACATGTTAAATGATCCTTGAATAAAACAAATATATTGGATCAATAAATTCCCTTAAAGTCTCTTAAATTCTATTATCATAAGTGAATGTGAAGAAAGATGAGGTCCAAATGTCGATTAATTAAATGGTTATAGCCTATAGGATACCAATCATAAGAAATTCATTAGAAGTGGAACATTAATTAGTGAGTCATTATAAAAAGTTAAAAAAAATCATCGTGCCAATTGTACGTCAAAATATGTTCATTGATTTTTAGCAAAAGGGACAAAAACATTGCTGGGAGTTAGGAGATGGATGGTGGTTGGCCAGGTGGTAGTATAATTAGGGCTGGCAGAACGGTTTTCGGTTAGCAGCTAACCAACCGGTTTCAATCGAATCGGCCGGTTTTCGGCTAACCAAAAAACCGAAAATAAAGGCAGCGGTCGGTTGGCGGTGGGGAAGGGTAGGGGGTCGGTTAGCCAACTAACCGGGGTCGGAAACCGACGGTTAACCGGCTAACCGACCCCCTTCCCTTTCCCCAAAAACGACGCCATTTTCCGCCCACTAACCCTAAGCAGCCGACACTCCTCTCCCAAATCAATCGACCCTCCCCCCCCCCCCCCCCTTCTCGCAATCTCGCACAACCCTTCCCCTTCCCCTTCCCCTTTTCGCAATCAATCGACCTTCCCCCCCTTTCTCGCAATCTCGCCGACCCCCTTCTTGCGCAACCCTTCCCCTTCCACTTCCCCTTCCCCTTCCCCCTTCCTATCGCAGTCTCAGACCACCATCGTCGACATTCCACCGACCCGCCGCCTCCACCGACCCGCCGCCTCCACCTCGTCGCCCCGCCGCCTCCACCTCGAATCCCTAAATATTCTTCTTCTCCCATCAACCATGTCAAATCCACAGACACCACCAGCAAAAGCCGCCGCCCTCCCCTGCCTCCTCCGCTCCTCCTCCTTCCACCGCCACCAAAACTTCCTCCACGGCCATCGTTCCTGGTTCCGCCGGCGCGCTCGCGGTGAAGAAGCCGCCTTCGAAGGACAGGCACCGGGAAGACTCCGGCGAGCTTCTCCACCGTCTCCGTCTCCGACAACCTCCTCCTCCCCGGCGCCGCGCCTCGCCACGCCTCGCCGCCCGTCGCCTCGCCGCATGTCGCCCTCACAACCTTCCCCCTCCTCCCACAACAGCCGCCGCCGCCGCCTCCATTCCTCTGACCTCGTCCGTCGACCCCTCCATTTGTTCGACCTCACTTGCCCCACTCACAAAATCGCGGGCGTTGAAGAGGAAAGAGCTCGCCGCGGGTGCCCTGGTCGCCGACGTAGAGGAAGGAGACGGGGTCCGACCGCCGGACGCGGACGGGGTTCGAATTCTGGTGGCGGACGGGGTTCGACAACAGGCGGCGGATGGGGTCCGAGATCCGGCGGCGGACGGGGTCCGAACACCGGTGCCGGACCGATTCCGAGACCCGACGGTCATAGCTTTTTTTTCAATAATCATTTTTGAATTATTATTTATTTATTTAGTAATTAAATAAGTGTAAAATACCATAACTAGGATCTAAATAATTATAAATATGATAATTAAGTAAATTAAAGAGAAATTTTTAAGGCAAGTTTTCGAAATAGGAAATTGAGTAATAAGTTTTCGGAAGGAAATTTCCGCAATTAACAACCTTTAATTGTATTTTCCTATTTAACAACCCAACCAATGTAATTTCCTCCCAATACATCTAATGATTATCATTTATTAATATATTAACATCCCAATCCAAATTAGTTAACAACTCAATCCACTTCCGGTAGTTATCAAACACGTATAGAATATAATTTATTAATATATTATTTTGACCACAGTTGGTTGAGGGAATTAGGGTTTGACCCGAATTAGGGTTTGGCTTAATTAGGGTTTGACTTAATTAGGGTCAAAGGTAGGTTTTGACTTTGAAAAAATAGGGTTTAATTTTGACAAATTAGGGTTTGACTTTGACCAATTAGGATTTAGTGAGATTAGGGTTTAATTTAATTACTTAAAGTAATTCTTTTTTTAATTTGTTTGGTAAAATTAGTTTAATGAATAAATGTGGAGAGGCTGGAATTAGCTAGATTAATTAATATTTAATCTAATCGGAACAACGATAACGGTAACAAAAGATGAAAACATATCTTCCCCTTCTACACATCCTACCTCTCTCAAACCCTAAACCCTAATTCCCATAAAATAGCTAACTTCAACCTCAATCCATCAAATCCTACTACGACATTGTCTTAGAGGTAAAATCGTTTCTACTTCCACTAACAACATTTGTTTGCATCATTGAAATACATATGATAGGCTCAAGAAATACATTTTTATGATTCACAGAGCCCCCAAAAATCTCAATGGAAATTTTGGCACTATTCATCATTTTTTGTCTGGAACTCCCAATTGAGAAATGGTCAATTCCAACATATTCGTATCCACGTTATAGAGGATGAACAAGGGTTTCAATAATTTTTAGTTCGATGGCTCTAGTAAATGCGAAAATTGATACAATGCAAAACGTGACCATTTTAATTTGATTACATGACATATCCACACTTGTAGGTAAATTATGAGTATGATTACATGACCATTTTAGTATATAATATCAAACTCCTCGTAGACATTGATTTTATGTTTTCTATTTACTGATTTGAATGGTTTTGTAGTGATTTAGATAGAGATCAAATAATTACAGTAAGTGTAGGGATTTAATTCCTTCCCAACTACCCACCTCTCATTAGCAATTAAATAATTGTTTTTTAGGGAAAGTACTTAAGTAATTGTAAAATTTCATAATTATTATTTACAATTATGAATTGCTAATTTCGTTTCCCCTAATTCCGTTGGCAGCAATCAAAGAGGATAATAATTAGTAATAAAAAATAATTATTATTATGGGCTTAGGAGTTAGATGTGATAATCAAGGAAAGATTGTTTCCGTTTTCAAGTAATAATCATAATCATAATCGATTTTTTTTGTTGTCAATTAATAATAACAATCTTAAATAATATATATAACATTATTTAAAAATTAATCCAATCGGTCAGCATCTCTGCCAAAAAGATGCCGACGAGGGTTTTCCGACGCCGACGGGCGGCAATCAGATCCCGTCCGACGGATAAAGAAAAAAAAAGGAAGCCTGGTCTTGACGGCGAGCTCCTTTCTCGATGGCGGGGATTTCTTTGCGTTGTCGACAGCACCAACAACAACAACGACGAGCTCCTTTTTGGGATGGTGGAGTCTTGGGTTGCGGGTGGAATTGTGTGGTGATGAAGGGAGGTGAGCAGGCAGAGGCGGTGGGGAGACAGACTCCGGCGTCGGGAGAAGTTGGCGTCGGGAGGGGAGGCAGAGCCGACGACAGATTGGAAGAAGGGTAAATGTGTAATTTTATTTATAACTATGGGCGGAAATAGTAATTTTTAGGGCGACAAAAAACACTCATCCATCGGTAATACATGGAAATCCAAACACTCTGTGGGAGCCAATTAGCTAAAGTAAACTTTGAGGGCTCAAATTGGGAAGGAAACGTTAGTTGATGGCCAAATTAAGCTTAATTTGAACTGTAGTGACCTTTTGGAACTTTACCCTACCTATATAATATCGCAAACTCGATGATGGATAGGAATATATTACAATTTGCAGATCCCCAATTATCTGCCTTTAGCCCTCAATCTAGGGTTTCTCTCGATTCGAAACTAACAAAATCCAATCCAGTGTTCTTTTTTTCTTTTCTCTCCATCCTAGTTGAAATCCTCTTTGCTGTCAAAGATGAACTCAACTCTTATCCAGTCGAGTTTTGATTCTGACGGCGACCAGAAGGGTAGCACTGAGGCTATTCCTCGTTTGAGCACCTCTGCGTATGAAACACCTGATTTCGGATCTGGAGCGAAGAGGCAGAAGGTCATAGAAGACGACAAGAAAGCCAAGGGTGGCGACGGCGATGCGCTGGTGGAAACCGAAGATGATGATGCTGACGAGATTGAGGATGGCGATGATGAAGATGATTTCATGGAGGTCAAACAGTAGAGGAATTTTACAATGCTATATAGTATTGGTACTATAAGTTTTTGCCTTTATGGTACAATTTGAAGTTGTACCTTTAACGTTATGGTACAACTTTAGATTGTACCTATACTTTTTGTACAAATTCATTTATGGTACAACCTGAACTTGTACTTTTATATGATGGTACAATTTCAAGTTGTAAAGTTGTACCATAACATAATGGTATAAATTTCTTTATGGTACAACCTAAACTTATACATTTAATGTTATGGTACACCTTCAAGTTGTACATTAAAGCACCAATACTATATAGCATAGTAGAAGTGCTCCAAACAGTATACTCCGAAGAGGACGATGCGGGAGAAGTGTTCGGAAGATGATGAACGCTTCCAACGCTACCTTAATAAAGTTATTGATAGCGAGGTTAGTTAGGGTTCTTGTTCATCATAGATCTATTTAATTTCCACCCAATATTATGTGAAGTTTTTTTATTTTTGTTGCTTTGATCGTCTTCATGTATGCTGTGTTACTCTATTGACAGGGTTTTGATTTGGACGAAGACCCTCTAAATGTGTACCCTTTCACTGGTGTCAGAGTATGCAGGGTACACTTTGATAAACCTGAGCACGCCCGTCATAAGGAATTTGTTCGCAAGTGCATCAACACTGCAATTCAGAAACATTATGAAGCTGTCTGTCATTGGCTCATTGCTCTCCTTTTCATGAGCTTCCATTCTAATTTTCTGCATGCTATAACAACGCTCTATTCTTCTATTTTGCAGCTGACTTACGTTGATACCTTGACTGCAAATTATGCAGTACAAGTTGGTTACGTCTATTTCATTACATTTCGGGCCAGGAAGAATTCATCGTCGGAGGTCAAAACCTACCAAGCTGAGGTTTCACATGACCTTTGGGGTGACATGGTGGTAAATAAATTCCAGGAGAAAGCCCAGTGATCGAGGTAGCATATATCTATTTATCTTTGTGGTTCCTCACCTGTTGTGGGTGCCAGACCGCCTGTGCGGCCAAGTTGAATGTCAAGCTAGCTGTTTAGGATGCGGTCTCCATTTTAAGCAGTTTGCAGTCGCTTTATTTCTCACTTGGATATGTATTCATGAAGCAGATTATAGCACCCATTGATAGTGATTGTTTAGGTTTTCCGTTTACTGCGATTTAAGGAATTGTACATAAATTTTATATCTTTTCTGCATTTGCATTCAGAACTGGATCAATATGCATTCACTATTTTATCATCATGTTGTTCTTAGCACGACCAATATATGCTTTTCTGGCGTCAAAGTCACTGACCAACCCATATTCCCTGTAGAAATCACAGGCTTCGTCTGTATTACCGAACTTCAATTATTTTTAATATCTTCTGGTTGTAGAACTATGAGCTCGACATCATTATCTTCCTCGATGGGATGATTAGCTCCAAATCGTTTGTATTTGACTGGCTCCAACTTCATTGTCACGATGATTGAGCTTGGGGGAACGAACTCTGTTGACACCTAACCCTATTGGCCCACTACTAAGCTCACTCCTTTATTTAGAAGATAAAAAAATAAAGAGGGTTCTCTTAAATTCATAGAAAGATATATAGAAAGAGCAATGTAGAGATTATATTACTAAGAGACATGGAATGGCTACTTTCTACTTTTTTGCATCTCGCTTTTCCTTTTTCCTTTAACACTCTAGTGCTCGGATCTTGTTTTCATATCTTTGATACTTCACAATAAGTAAGGCCTCCTTATATGCCATTGAGGAGGGATTTTTGAGCTCCGAACTTTTCGGAGACAAGGTTTTCTTTCGCGAGCTAGGGTTTGGGTTTCTCGATGACGGCGCAGTCGCCGGCAACGGCGTCGCCATCTGCGAGGAAGCCACCAGACATCACAAGCGGAGTACGGCGTCCCTCAGAAGGATCGTCGACCCAGGACGGCAAGAGTGCTAAGGAAACGGTCCAGCCGAAGAAAAAAGTGCGAGCCCTAAACTTAGACGACACGATGACGGGACAGGAAGATGAAACTGAAACAGAGATGGAAACAGATAAGGAGGAGCGCACGGTTCACCCAGGCAGGCAGGGATGGAAGGGCAAAAGCTTCAGTGAAGCCGTGAAACAAGATACGTGGTACGTTGCCGAGTCTGACTCGGAAGACGTGGCACTCAGAGAGAAAGAGATGGATGATGAAGTAGACGATGAAGAAGAAGACCCGACCTGCCCGACGATCCCTTTCACGGTGGCTGAGAAAATACGTTGGAGAAGGGAGTGGCGATCGGCGTTGGTGGTAAAAGGGCTAGGGCGGCGGGTGTCATACATACCGCTAGCAAGACGTCTGAATTTCTTATGGGCACGGAATGGAGAGATACAAATCTCGGACATGAATAATGGTTGTTTCCTCGTTCGATTTAGAAGCCACAAGGATTATGAAGGGGCGACGATGGGTGGGCCCTGGCTGCTGGGTGACACATACTTGACGGTTCATCGATGGTTCAAAGGCTTCAATCCATGGAAGACAGAAGTGACATCGACAATGGTTTGGGCACAACTACCGGAGCTGCCCATTGAATTCATCAACAAGGAAGCAGTTATGAAGATTGGGGAATGGTTGGGAAAACCGGTTCGGGTGGATCGTGCAACTGAACTCGGAGCTAGAGGCAAATATGCTAGAGTCTGTATCGAAGTAAATTTAACCCAGCCGCTTATATCTAAGTTTAAAATCGAAGGGGTAACGTACCTGGTCCAATATGAGGGACTTGATGATCTATGTACAGATTGTGGCACATATGGGAAGAAAGCTGGTAAATGTCATTGTGTCCCAGCGGGCCAGGCGATGTAGACAGAGGCGAACAAGGAAGAAGACATGAACGTGAACGTTGACCCCTCCCAAGGGCGAACCTATGGGGAATGGATGAAGGTTAAACCACGAAATCGATACCAAGGAAGGCAGGAGGGACGGGGAGGAAAGATGGAGGGTCCATACACAAAGAACCGATTCGAGGGGTTAGCTGAAAAGGAAAAAGAAGAAGGAAAAGATAAGAATGAAGAGAGTGTGATTATGGAAGACCACCAAGTGAATGATACCAATAAACAGCCGAGTAGTGGCAGCCTGGGCGAAAGTGAGACACGTACAGAAGGAAAGAGAAATGGATTGGGGAATGATGTCATTAAAAATAAAAAGGGTGACAACATTCCCATGCAACAGACAACTACACACAGTGGAAGTAATAAGGGTGGAAGCTTAGTGAAGAATGGACACAAAGCACAGGAGAAGGGGCCGGGTGACCACAAGAAACAAACAAATATGCGGAGTGGGAAGAACAAGCAGATGGAGTCGGGGAGCACAACAACTGAGGAAGCAAAGAAATCCGGGGACCCTATACAGATGGGGGCGACCCCGACCAGAAATACAGGCCAGAGCAAAGGGGCAAGGACCGGGACTGGGAACATGGATGAAGGCGCGGGGAGCCTATCCCCTTCGAAGAATAAATGAGGCTAATCAGCTACAACTGCCGCGGGTTGGGGAATACGCGGTCAGTATCTGCCTTGAAAACGCTATTGCGTAGATCATCCCCCCATGTGATCTTTCTCATGGAAACTAAGCAGACGGTGGCTGAGAACGAAGCTTTACGGGAGATGTGTGGCTTTAAGAATGGAGTGTGTTGGCCAGCAGTAGTGTCGAGCAGAAGCCGAGCAGGTGGGTGTGTTTATGGTGGACAGAGGAGGTCACCATTACACGGATGAACCATGATCTACACTTTATCGACGTAGCTATAGACGAAGAAAAGGAAGGACGATGGAGGTTTACTGGTGTGTATGGATGGCCGGAGAATAGTGACAAGTGGCGGACATGGGATCTCCTCAGCTCACTTGGCGGGCAATGGAATGGTCCATGGCTATGTGGAGGAGACTTTAACCAAGTACTGTCGACAGAAGAGAAATCAGGGGGGAGACAGGCTCATGAGATGGAGATGAGCAGGTTCGGCGACTGTCTTACAGAGACGGGGCTGCAGGACTTGGGGTTCCAAGGGTACCCGTATACGTGGGAGAATAGGAGGAATAGAGGTGGCTATATAGAAGAACGATTGGATAGATTTACGGCGAATGAAGGATGGAGACAATTATTCCCTAATGTTCGAGTAATTCATGGGGACAGGGCAAGCTCGGATCACAGGCCGGTAATATGCGAAACGAGAGGGGACGATGATGGTGAAATGAAGTGGGGATGGTCCTTTCGCTTTGAGCCATGCTGGACTAAACACAAAGACTGCTCGAAAGTTGTGGAGGAGGCCTGGCATAAGACTGGTCCGACTGACGTGCTCACTCGGTTTGCCCAATGCCGAGCCGATTTGGAAGGCTGGAGTCGTGACGTGTTTCCGAATTTTAACAAACAGAAGGACCGAGTCCGACGTTGTCTCTGCGTCCTTGAACGACAGGTTAAAACGGACGAGGTCCTTGAGCAGATTAATAAGCTGGATGGTGAGATGGCTGACATCCTGGATAGTGAGGAAAATTATTGGAAGCAACGGTCCAGAGTGGACTGGTTAAAAGAAGGCGATAAGAACACTCCATTTTTTCACAGAAAAGCTACAGCCCGACGGAAGAGAAACACAATTAAAAAAATCAGAAACACAGCGGGGAGGTGGTTTGTGGGACAGGAGGCTGTTACTACGTGCATGGTCGAGCATTTCGTGAGTCTATTTACTGCGAGTGAGGCCCCCGATTCCTGGCCGGTGCTGGATTCCATCGAGCGGCGAGTTACCCAGGAGGATAATGATGAACTACTGCGGCCTTTTCAACGAGAAGAAATCTGGAGTGCCTTGAAACAAATGGGAGCCAGGAAAGCGCCAGGGGCAGATGGACTATCGGTTTTATTTTTCAGGAAGTACTGGGAAATTATCGGTGATGACGTGGTCGAGGCTATCCTGCAGATACTGGAAACGGGTGTAATCCCAGGGGATTTGAATCACACGTTCATCACCTTAATTCCCAAAACAAAGCAGCCATCCACGCCTGCAGAGTACAGACCCATAAGCTTATGTAACGTCCTCTATAAGGTGATGTCAAAAGTCCTCGCCAACCGACTCAAACCTTTTTTGGACAGGATAATTTCTCCATCACAGAGTGCATTTATACCGGGGCGACTTATAACAGACAATGTCATGACGGCCTTTGAGTGCTTTCATTCGATGAAACGAAGCCAGAAGAGAAAGATTGGACACTTTGCGGCGAAAATCGATATGGCAAAAGCGTACGATAGAGTGGAGTGGCGCTTTCTGGAGGGGGTGATGAGGCGAATGGGGTTTGCTGATCGATGGATTAGACTGATTATGATGGGGTAACCTCAGTGACGTACTCAGTGCTCGTAAATGGACACAGATCCGAGCCCTTTGCACCTAGTAGAGGGATTCGGCAGGGCGATCCGTTGTCACCTTACCTTTTCCTGCTCTGTGCGGAAGGGTTATCAGCCTATACAGCCAAAGCGGTATCAGAGCAGAGGCGGCATGGGCTGCAGGTGACTCGAGGAGCCCCAGTGATTACCCACCTATTTTTCGCTGACGATTGTATCTTTTTTGCTAGGGCAACGCAAAGGGAATGCTTGGAGTTGAAGGAGATCCTCCGTGACTATGAAAAAGAGTCCGGCCAGCTGGTGAACCTCCAAAAATCGGAGGTCTCCTTCTCATACAATGTCAAGCCACACAATAAACTCACAGTGGGGGGTACGCTAGGCATGAAGATCTTGGAGAAACATGACAAATATCTTGGCCTCACCACTGAGGTAGGCCGATCAAAAAGGGAGGTGTTTGGGGGTCTCAAGGAGCGGGTACGGCAGAAGTTGAAGGGGTGGAAAGAACGCACCATGTCGGTGGCAGCTCGAGAGGTCCTTATTAAGTCGGTGGCCCAGGCGCAGTTGATGTATGCCATGTCAGTGTTCAGAATACCGGAGGGAATTATTGATGAAGTACATAGCCTCATTACCAACTTCTTCTGGGGCCAAAGAGGTACGGAGAGACGAGCACACTGGTTGAGAAGAGAGGAGCTCGTTACGTTGAAAGAAGACGGTGGCCTGGGGTTTCGCGACCTCCGTGGCTTCAACACGGTCCTCCTCGCGAAACAGCTTTGGTCCATAGCCCAGCGACAAGACTCCTTGGTGGCGCAGGTGCTTAAAGCCAAATATCACAGGCGTTCGTCGATCTTGGAGGCAAATATGGGCAGCCGACCGAGCTTCGTTTGGAGGAGTTTGATGAGCGCCCAGGAATTTCTATGTAGGGGCCTAAGGTGGCGAGTGGGGAATGGAGCACAGATACGAATTTGGGGTGACAATTGGCTACCGAATGAAGAAATTTCTTATGTCACGTCGGCGCCCAGGGGGCTGCCTGTGGACTCAGTAGTCCGCGAGCTAATCGACCCGGACACGGAGGAGTGGAATCAATCATTGATCCAAAGCTGTTTTCCAGCGGCTATAGCTCAGACTATCATCTCAATTCCTCTGCGAGGCTGTGAAGAACAGGATAGGATGGTGTGGAAGCATAGTGACTCCGGGAATTTTATCGTTAAGGAGGGATACAGACAGTGGCTTGAAGATTTTAAGAGGGAGGAGAACATTGCTGTCAGGGGAGACCAAGCATTGTGGAAAACGATTTGGAGCATGAACGTCCCACCTAAAATACGTCATTTCATGTGGAAATTTACCCGGGAAGTGTTACCGACCGGGATCAAGGTGGCAGCCAAGAGCGATCGCTGGAGTGACACCTGCCCCTTTTGCAATCAGAAGGAAACGCAGCGACATCTGTTCTTTGAATGCAGCTGTGGATGTCGGATTTGGAGGAGATCTCCATGGGCACAACTATTTGATATGAGTGGAATGGCAAGCTGTATGGAGCGGGTGGCGAAAACAATACACGACCAGGATAGGGAGACGCTGGAGAAATGGGCAACCATATTATGGGCTCTTTGGAAGGAACGGAATGCGCAGTTATTTAATGGACAAAAGTGGCCGGAGAATGAGATCATATCTCGAGCCTTGACTATACTTGACGAATACCAGCGGAACCAATGAAGCAGTTCAGAGGCGGATACCCACCCAATGGAGGAGAAGTGGAGGAGACCGAGGGAAGGCTGGATCAAAATAAACTCTGATGCCGGGTTGATTGCAAACGAAGGGGTGGGTTTGGGAGTTGTCATTCGCAATCACTTAGGCCACTTTGTTGCTGCAGCGGCGAAGAAGGTACGAGGGGCGATTGGCGTCGAGATGGCCGAAGCGCTAGCGGCAGAGATGGGGGCCCAGCTCGCTTGCCAGCTGGATCTACCGCGGCCGGAGCTTGAGGTCGACTGCTTGTCCCTGATCGAGAAATTCCAGACAGCGGACAGAATTCATACTGAAATTGGACTGATATGTCGCCGTACGGTGAGCTTCCTCCGGGAGAATGGGTCGGACGTGATGAACATAAGCCATGTTAGAAGACAAGCAAATAATGCAGCACACATTATGGCTCATAGTGAGACTCGCTGGGATTGTCGTGAGGTTTGGTTGGACAGACCGCCTGTGTTCCTTGTTGACCAACTGCGGTTGGATGATGTAAACACTCCAGTTTAATCTATAATATTACAGGTTAACTGTCACAAAAAAAAAGTAAGGCCTCCTTAGCCTGAGCAAAGATGGGGATAAGGAGTAAGGATTAAAGCCCTTTAGCCGGTGGCGAACATATTTAACATCGTTCCCCTTATCCTTCCATCTTCTCCATTGAGGGCAATGTCGAACTTAAGTGTTGGGGAGGGGGGTGTGTGTTTATCTTTTGACTGCATTAGATCTGTTGGTGTGCTCGGAGCCTAGTCCAC